GGAACCCGGTCTGAGCCCTGCTCAGTTCGACGCCTATTTAGCTGACTTTCCCTGCCTTGAGGCAGCTGAAGCAGCTCAGTTTAAAGAGTTGCAAATCTGGAAAGTGCTGAAACAGGTTGGCCTTGATAAATCTCCGGGATTAGATGGTCTTCTCTATGAAGTCTACTTGAGGCAGTCGCCCGTTTTTGTTCCCTTGCTGGCACTGAATGAAGCAGGGGTCTATACCCCAACGCTTCACCAGGGGCGTAATCAAGTTGTTACGTAACGACAAAAACAGTGGGGATGGGTTACGTAACTTTCACCCTTAAACGATGTTAAACACAGAGTTAAAGATTTTGGCTAAGGTCCTAGCGAACCATTTGTCCTGTCTAGTCTGATTGGCTCCGAACAGACGTGTTTCTGTTAATATGCAAACAATAGTTATTCCTGGTTAGACCAATATATTTGTCTGTATTAAAAATATCATTATCACCAAATCTAAATAAAAAAAAAAAAAAAGAAAAGTCTTAAAAGGAAACTTGTTTGCCTCACTCAATCATTTGTATGTGATTTTCATTTTCTTTCATTCTCTTCGTCTATTTTTCTTGAACTGCATCTTTCTTACTTCATTCAGTATTCATCAGATTTCCTGTGTTTTTGACATAGATCCATATACAAGTTCTCTCAAAAAGTCTTAACAATAAAGAACATGAAATTTGACTAAACTGAATCTATTATCTAACTAAGCACATGAGAAAGAATTTAATATTTAATTATTTTCTGAATGAAGGGTTAAGAAACTGATTTTTAAAAAAATGAATGACCTCTCTTAATTTTTCTAGGAGTTGAACAAACTTTAAAGTTTATATTTTAAGATCAGTTTTAATTTTGACTATTACATTTTTCATTATATTTAAAGAAAAGTAAATTATTGCATTGGGAATGAAAATTTTTGTATTGATTTTTTTAAAACAATTTTCTAGGTACATTTGAATAATAAACCAAATTTCGCTTCAAATTTTCTTTAAAAATTTTTTTATTAGTAAATCTATCCTCCTTTTTGAAGAGCTAGTTTCATGTGCATACTTGAAAGGAATTGTAGTTATCATTGTAGCACTAATAGGATTCCTCAAAATGAAATTTTATTAAGTTACAAGAAACTTATTTTATCTAGTTTCATGAAACTCACTAAAATAAACAATATTGCTCACAATAAATTACTGTTTCTTATTACATAATTTCTTACAGAATTTCTATAATGATGCAAGCTAGGTATTTTATACATTTATAAAAATTAATAAAAATATGACTTGGTATTTTCTAATGTAAAACCAACTTTCTATAGAGAAACCAAACCTGATTATTATTAGGAATCCCAAACTAAAATTTTATTTTTAATGTATCTATAAATTTTTAATACAGACATAACATAAAAAAAATGTTACTAGATTTATTGACAAAACATAAAAAAAGTGTTACTAGATTTATCTTGGTAGCTCAGTTATGATCATTGAAAATTAGTCTCTTTTCCATCTTCGGCATTTGTTTCATGAAATAAATCATTGGTCAGTCCTTCAAACAAATGCTTATTGTAAGGCTTTAAATTCATTTATCTGCAAGCTAAAAAAAAAAACAAAAAAACAAACTGAAAGGAATAAAACTACATTTATTGGAATTGATGAAAGAGACTTTATGGACAGTTGGAATGGTTCCCCTGCCTTTCCTCTTTTAATGGTGATTTACAATCTGAATTTGTTTATAAGTCTCTGATATAGTCAATATTCCTGAAACACTCCATATCCTACCATCTAAAAATAGTATTATATCAAAGTCCCATCTAAAAATAAATGTTGATGCCACTTGTACCATATCACACAACAAAAGCCATCAAAAATAATCCTTTCTACATTTGGTTGGAACTAAAAATTTTCCTTACAACACTGAACAGAGATGTAATATCTTTGACTTGTAAAAAGTTGGAGTAAAAGTATAGTGCAATCAATTGGCCTTGGTGCTCATAACTGAATGTCATTTGAAGTGGGTTTTCTTCCTCACAAAATCTAGAATTGTTTGAATACTCAGATTTACTGAATGTCTTTTCTTTTTTTCATTCCTTTAGAGGTGGAAATGAGGTTCCATTAAAAGTTATATCACTGTAATGTCTATTTCCTTCATTACAGTTTTTAGCTTTATCAGCATGCATTGCAAAGAATTTGTGCTCTTCTTTGGCCTGCTTCTCCCGAAAGAAGAAAACTACTGCTCAGTGCATGGAATTCATCATCCTCTGAACAGAAGATTAAATGTAAATTTTATTAACCACCTTAGTAGGGCTCTCTAGTGTGGAAAGCACTAATACATTTTTAAAAAAGAAAAAAAGTAACAGATACTCAGTTAAAAAATGTTATGCTTATCTTCTATAATGGCTTAGGAAAAAAAAATGAAAAGACAATGCATGTTTGCAAAAGTTAAAAAAGTAAAAAATGTAATGATTTCATTTTAAACTTTAAAATAGGACCTAATTACTAGAATTCGTAAACAAATAATTATTAAAAGAAGAAAAAAGTAAACTGTTTGCAAAATTAGCTATTAAATTTTAATTTTTTTTATGGACCCATGATCCAAAGTCCAGCTAAAACATATCTAGTTAATTCTTTTATAAAGAGAAAAGATTAAGTTTTTTTAATATATTAATTTTATCAAAATAGCCTAAAAAATAAACAAGATATATGGAGTTGAAATTGAAAGAAATTTTGCTATTTTAACAAGTTTTCGCATGTAAAATAGGGCAGTTTGGAATACCTATTATTATTATTATTATTATTTTGTTGTTGTTAAAGTAGCTATGTATTTTTAACATTGTCATTATTTCTGGAGGATAAGAATTATTTTAAAAATTAATGGAAAATAATTTATTCCATCAAAATATTTATTCTACATTGGACTAAGATGTCACTTCTCTTTCTACGCATTTGAATGAGCTGAAATTCATTTTAATTTGAACCTAAATAGAGAAGTTTTTGCCTTTACTCTTTGAGTTTTGAATGCACTATTTCAAGTTGATTTAAATATCAGTGACTATATAACTCCTACACCATTCTTATTTTTTAGCTCTCACATTACCTTGTAGGGATAATAACAGATATAGTTGTCTTAGTTGCTTTTATATTAATATATATATATTAGGCAGCTATTTTTATTATTATACAAAATCCATTTTTCATCATGGTAGATATGCCAAAAAAGGTCAAATTCATATCATTAATCTTCATCAATATAGGTCTACAGGTGCAATATCATTCAATTCAAACAAAACTTTTTTATCAATCATTTTTGTTATCCTATTGTTCTTAAATGGTTCCACTAAGTACATTTAAGTTTGCAACTTCTCTGATTTAGGTTTTTGACTATAGCTTTCTAATCATTAGTATTATTTTAAGCTCAAATCCATACATTTAATTTTTTGAAATTCAAAACTTAATGGTTATTAACTGGCAGGATGTGTATTTTTCTTGACTTCTACTCAATTATAGCTTGGATAGAATTTGTACAAATATGAAACATAACTTCAAATTTTTTTCATTTAAAACATTGACAAGATGAACGAAATGAAAAATTGTAAAGAAAGTTAGTTTCATAAGCAACAATGAAATTTTAATTTTAAATATTAATTTGTGAATTTAATGACTTGTTATCATACAATACAAATTTTCAGTTTTCTTATTGATAATAAAATATTAAATTTGCATTTGGTACTCTGTTCTATTTTGAGCACCAACGTACCATTTTTATAAGTATCACTTGCACAAATGGTCTTGCTTTGTAATAAACTCTTGTTTCAGTCAAGTCTTGACTCTGTATCACTAATTTATTGACATTGTTTTGAAAGTTAAACTTACTGAAAGCAGTGGAGATGAGCTCTGAAAATCTCCTTCAAGATTTAGATGCCCACATTTAAGTATGGATCATGCTAATGAGACTTCTTTGACAAATATTTTCTATTTACTGTCCTCCCTTTTATTTTTCTTTTGTAGTAGTTCACACAATTGTATGTGAAATCTTTTTGCATTTCAGTTAATTCCTGTTTCTATAGTTTCTCTTATTGTTCTTGTGTTACAGCACCTGGAATAGGAGATAAGAAGATGCTGGCCTGGTGGAGTCGTTCTGAAAGAGATGATGTTGCTTCCATGCACAACTGTTATCTCTTCCCGCTCTTTCATTCAATACATTTGACACAAATCAACAAACAGCTACAGCACCAATACAAGTTGGTGCTCTTAAGCAGAGTGGCACTTTCACTGACTCTGCCACAGGCACATTGTGCCCAACATAATGTCCAGTACACTATGCTTCAGCTGGCCTGAGCCAAACTACCAACTTAAATCTTTTCTAAGCACAACTCTTGGTTTTACACCTTAAGTGTTTTAACCTTTTGGAGATTTTCTTGTGTGCCTTTTTTTTTTTCTTTTTAACCTTTTTTTTTTTTTTCCATTTCTGAATAATAATTAGTTATATTTTGATTTATTTATGTTTATTTTTTTAATTATAATTATTTATTTCATTGTTTAATCATAGTTAATTTTCTTTTCTAAATAATCACTTTTGCACTTTATTTTTTTCGCAAAAGATTTTTTTATCTAGTTATAAATATTGATTTGTCTGATTATTATTTTATAATTTTAATTACCTGTTTTCTACTAAAAAATACTCTCCAAACACTTTTTCTTTCTCAATCTGATATTTTGGGGAAAAAGGCTGATAAATTTTTATTTTATTTAGTATATGTGATCTCTGCCATGGAAAATCTACAGAAACACATGTCCTTCACTTCAAGTAGTACTAACACTACAAACAATATCAACAATAGCAATAACAATACTTCAAAGAATCCTGCCCCAGCTATTGCAACTATGGGCCTTAACCCAGGTGGAAGTCAACGGTCAGTTTTCCATGTCAAAGTTGATCATAATTTTTACTCAGAGGAGGAAAGTAAGCACAGGGATAATCTGCGCAACTACAAGGAAATGCACAAGAAATATGATGAGGCTGGCTCTCGTCTAGCAGAGGCATTTGCCAATTCACTCAAGGACACAGTGCATGATGGTTTCGCTCAGAAATGTAACACAGTGCTCAGCAGCGTGTTTGGTGGTAATAGTCTTGTTATGGCACAAATCAGTGAACTTGGCAACTTGCTCTCTGGCCTACTGAACAAGATGGATACAAAAGAGCAAGAAGAAAAACAGATATCTTATAACCAGGTGAGACAAAAATCTTTACTTCTTTCAAGCTTTCTAAAAATGTTATTTTGTTTTTAACCCCAGAAAATCTCAAGGTGCTTAGTTTTTTTTAAGTTTTTTTTTTTTAATGTGTGCATAGTTAATAGAGAGAAAAGTTTTGCAACTTTTAAATGCTAGTGGTCTTATCAAAGGTTGCCTCTTTTTAATTCACAGTAAGAAAAGAGAAAATTTAATTCTCTTGTTGATCGCATCTAGTAAGGTGATCTGCCATTACCCTGGGCTAAATGCTGTTGGGGTATAATTACTCAAGAATAACCTGTCACTTTAAGGCAGAAACATAGTCACAAAATGCATATGTACACTGTGTTCAGAATGCTTTCTATACAATTTATTATCATTAACAAATGTTTTATCATTATTAGTATACTAATATTCTTTAAAGTTTAAAGTATATAATAGTATTAAAAAAAGTTAACAACATAGCTGCCTAATGTTTTATTTCTTGCCATCTAAATATGCAACAATGACAAGGTTTAGAATGAAAGGCGTAACAAAACAAATTTTTCTTTTCTACTTCCTGACAATTCCACTACCAGAAATAATAGCAGAGATAAAATTCATAAGAAATTGTGAATAAATTTTTACTTTTGAACCATAGAATAAAAATAAGCAGTTAAGATTTGACAATTTTAATTAATAATATATTTTGAACCATTTTAAGAAATTCATAAAAGTCAGAAAAAATTATTTAAATTTCAAAGCACAAGTAATTTTTTTCATTGACAATAAGAAAATACATATTAACATGAAAAGTACTATTAAATCATTCTGCACCATTTATCCCCCTTTTTTAAATAATTTTCCCTTCAAAATAAAAAGACTGAAACAATTACTGTACACTATAAGTTTCTCTCACTACACTCATTTGTCTCAAGTGTACAGGGAGTTAAAAGGTAAACAATTCTAGTTCTGAAACAGTTGATTTAATTTAAAACAAATAGTACTATTTTCAAATAAGTCCACTTTTATGAATAGACAATATACAAAAATACCCAGAAATCAAAAGGAATAGTAGGGAATGTTTGCAAAAAATCTAAAACCTGTCTCAGTTGTATCATAATGTGCAGCTAGCATATTTTATTTATCACTTGATTACACTTATCATCTTCACTCATTCTCTTTTTATTGTTCCAAGTATTGTACAACATATTGTACACATTGGATAGTAAATATTTGATGTAAAATTTTATAGGTTCATGATCCAATAGTCCCAAATTTCTTCAATGAGATCATCTGCTTTTCAGAAGAAACTTTTTTTCATTATGAATTAGATCTTATAAAATTTTGAAGATAAAGATTTAATATACCATTTAGTGATCTTAAATAATACGTTAATTGTACTTTTTTTTTCTTTGAGGGGTGGGAGTTACTAGATATGATAATACTTAACTTGTGTCTGCCATAAGATTGAAAGATCAGGATATACCAAGGTCTCATTTGTAGCTCTTGAATGATGTCTTGTCATCCAATATCTTTCCATTTGCTATCTGAGCATAGTTTTTTTGTCAAAGTCTATAAAATAATCATGCCTTTACTCATTTTGAATTTAAACAAAAAAAAGTTTTAGGTTTTTTCTTTTCTTTTTCTTTTTTTTTTAACTAAATTTTAAATACTTATTTATATTCTATCAAGTATATAATATTTACATTTTTCAATGAAATCTATTTCAGAGTTGAAATAAGAATTGAAAATTACTTTGCTTATTAAATGTCTTTTCTATTTCAAGAAAAAAAAAATGAACATGTTTCAGAGTGAAATATTTTTTTACATTAGTCTTGTTCTCTTCCTTATTTGTTAGATCTTGTGCTTTTTTGCGTGAACAAAGGTGAATGAAAGACGTCTTTTTTTTTTTTTCTCACCCATAATGTGTAACATCCATTTACAAGGGTGAAAACAACAACAATGTTAATGTTAGCAATAATGGATGAAATTGGTGACAACTTCATCAGTTTCATATGTTATCTGCATTTGAATTTTTATTTCATTAACTTCAAATTGCATTACGCCAGATCAAAAATGCAGATAAGGTATAATTCTGTAGAGATGTGCTACTTAAAGAAGAATTATCTACATAGTGTTCTTACAATTGCAACTTAAATGAACATAGGCAATCAATCAACATTTTAAGAATATTTTGCTGAATAAACTTAAATGTCCATCACTCTAATTGTAATGGATACAGTGGAGAGGTTCTTCATTGTCTAAGTGTACTATTACATACACATACACATAGATGATACTGAAAAGTTTTCAGCACAACTTGCTTTTCAAAACCAGTATTTTGATGTTTTGTCATTGAAATACTGATTTTGGGGAGTGGGTTGGACTGAGAACTTCCAGTACCCCTTTCTACATAGAAAGACATGTCTTCAAAAAACTTCTATTTTTGTTAATGTGCTATTCTAAATTGAAGAATTTACTCTTTCTTTTATGACCATAGACTTGAGCAGAAGCAGTGTCATGTTGCTAAGTTTAAAATTGTTTAGATTTTAATACGCTGACATGCCAAAAGTTATGTTGTAAGTAGTATGTAACAGTAGGTGTTGACACCACACATTGTCATTAAGTGAATCAGTGTGAATGCTGGTTAAGCTGCACATGACAAAACAACATGAATTATCAGTATTAGAATGAGGAATACTAGTGAGTACTAGACAGGATATTCCTTTTCTGATGTGAAATCATTTGACATCCCTTGCAGTAAAAGACACTGACTCAAATCACATTCACAGTCAATTTGAGAGACCAAATGCATAACCAGCAGGTCAGTTTCTTTAACTTCTGTTGAAGATGTAGTACTCCTGATGACACCATGAAACCAGACACAGTACCTCATCTGGGCTTGTAACATTGCTAATTGAACTCTGAAAAACTGGTAATGTCTGGCATGTTCCAGTGTGTCAAAATTCCAATTGTTTTAGGCTGATCTTAAGTCTTAGACACCAGTTGTCAACTTGATACTGTGCAGACAACTGGTGGTTCTATAATGGTGAGTGGTATGCTTATGTGGCTTGGTTTGGGTCTGCTGGTCTACTTAAACATGTCATTGGCAAGTGAACACTATGTTGCACTGCTTTAGCATTCATAGCATTCATTCTAGCAGGATAATGGCATCAACCCAAAGTTGCCCAAAATTGGTTTGATGAGCAGTCTGACTTTCAATGAATGTTGTGACTACAAGGTTTAATCAAGCATTTATGGGACATATTCAAGTGGGTCTATCTTTTAAGATCCTGGCACTACAAATATCAATGGTCTGCAATCTCTGGATAGATCATGAGCCATGCCATTTCAATAGCATGGCTCATGATCTATCCAGAGATTATCCACTTGTAGAATCAATGCCACCTTGAGTTGCTGCATTTCAATGAGCAAGAGTGGAAGGGGGTGTTGTACATGATATTAGGCACCTATTGATAAAATTTTTGCCCTACCCACTTGAAAATTTTCCTGATACATTTTCAGTATATTATTTCATGTTTTAATTTTCCATTTTCAGGTCATGCTAAAATGTTTGCTCTTATTTCTCAAAATTCAACAAGATTACCACAAGCAGTGTACAGAAGTCATATCTTCATTTATTCAAAGTATCAACCAGCAGTCAAGTACTGATCTTTTGTCCTTACTGGTCAGTCTCGACTTGACTAGTAGCCAGCTGTCTCCATCTAACACAGACTTTACCTCTTTACAAAGTGGTGGTACCAACAACAACAACAACAACAATAATAATAATAATAATACCAGTGTTAACAATAACTGTAATGAAAGTAAAACAGAACTTAAATCAGAGGCTGCGACATCAGGGACTCCTACCAGTCAGTCTACAACTGTCACTGATTGTAGTCTACGGTCAACAGCAACTTCTTTAAATGGTCAAATGCAAAAAAAGCTGTCATCGATGCCCTCCACTTCACCTTCTCCATCATCATCATCTTCATCATCATCATCTTCATCATCATCTTCTGTATTTTCTTCTTCACTTGAACCTTCATTCTCTTTATTCACAAAGCTTAATGCTTTGTATATCCCAATTGGTCAGACTGCTGGTCAGTCTATAGACACTGACACTGTTCCATCCACAACTGCTGTTGTTTCTTCTTCTTCATCCTCTACTGCTTCCACAGTCTTAACAATTATAAATTCAGATTCCCAAATCCCTTCACATTGGCCAAAGACAGGAGTGCAGCCATTAGTTGGGGCCATTGGTAAAAATGAGAAAGGAGCATCTGCCTATGTAAAGAGTTCTGCAGCCAAAGGTGAAATATTCTTAATTTTTTTGACTTATTCATTTTATTGTTAAGAAGCAGAAATTCAAACTGTATTCATTTGAAATACCTTTAAAAAATAATGAAAGCATTAAATGATATAGTAGTTACTTTATAGTTTTTGGTAATCAAGATATTACTTGTATCATTTAGTGCATTTTTCTAATTAGTTTTTCCTTTCTGAAAAGAAAAAGCTTTTTCTCATTTTTATAAAACATTTTATATGTATTGCCATTTGCATAAAAAAAAAACAATATATTGTACCTATCACACCTAAAATACACATCTTCAAATTTTTTCTTACAGTTAAATTGAAAAGATAGAACAGTCCATTAATGTAGTTTAATTTACCTATGATTTTAATCAAACAAATGTAGTTTGTATGTCTTGATGTTGCCATAAGATGAAATTCGTGATTATTTTAACTATTATTACTTAGTTTTCAATTAATCTAGTATACTTTCTTAAGAAAAATGATGACATCACATATTTGTATTTTTTACATTTTTTTTAAAATATAATTAACTTTCTTATCCTCATCTCTGTATGTTTCTCTACATAGAAATGCTATGAGCTGATTTTGAAATGACATTGTTTCATTATCAATTTTAAACTTTCCTTTATACTATACTTGTTTTATAACTTTGTAAAATAGCATCTATTAAAGGAAGTAGCAGGGATTTGGAATTTTAAAAAAAAGTAGCTTCCAATAAGATTTGAATTTTTCTTTCATAGACAATATCATAACCAATTTGTTTATTGAAACCTATAGCTAGCCAGAACGTAAATGCAGATGAAACAACAGTGTATGATTATACCTCCAAAAATCTCGATGATCAAGGACTGGCATCTGATCTCTCTGCTGACTTAGCTCTAACAGTTCAATGAGAGGGAAAAACTGATTTGCAACATTCAATACCCCTAAAACCAAACTAGTAAAGTTTCATCATTGAGCAGACCTTGAATTTTCACCTATCATAATGAACATTTGTTCTCTCAAGGATTTTCCTTGCCTTGAATGCCTATTGGGACTCTGGTTTACACCAAGTCCACAAGAGAGGATGCTTCTTACAATCTTAACCTCTTCAAGTTCAGGTTCAGCTAATTATATATCCTTATAATCTGCACTTCCTACCAGCTCCTCCTTATGTTTGTTCAACAACTTTATATAGTAAACACTCTACATTGAGTGACTCTTGGTTCTTGTATTAGGCAAACAATTAGTGTAAAAAACATGTTGCCACTTCTCTACTCCAAAACTTTACATCATATTGTTTATTTTGAGTTCATAATTCTATTTTAATGATCAAGAGGCTATTAATGATTAAACAGTAAGAATATGATGAAAATCAAACAATCTAAAAATGAATAGGTTTGAACTAGTTTTCATTATTTTTTTTTTTTAATTTATATAAAAGTCATTTCTATTATATATTCAGTCTCTACTGTTGCAATAACAGGACTGAGTACTTATGCACATGCCTAATAAGGATTAATTTTTGTCTTATAAATGCTTGTGAAATCGTTCATAAAATGTTTTTGTAAAATGCCCAAACATTTCTTCATTTATAAGTTATTTCTCAACAAATATTTTGAAAAGATCTTCAATATATGAACAGATTTCTTTTATACAATAGATTATAGACTAGTAATAACTTAATTACAAGTGGTTCATTGTTAGTGCTAACAAATTAGCACAGAATTTTATCAAAGGCTTGATAAATTTGAGTAGAGCTTAGAAACTCTAATAATCCATAGCTGAAAATTTTTTATCAAAACTGCAGTATCTAAACAAAATGTCTTTTGTTTGGATTTTACTATCACCGTTATCCTTTTTTTCTGTTTATAGCTAATGGCCAGTTAGCTTCTGAAGAAGAACTAAATAGTGTGATCAACCTTTTGTCTGGTGGGATGGTGTTGTCCCAGCCTCCTCCAGCCCCACCACCACCACCACCTCTTCACATGCCTAACCAGCTACAACCATCTCCTTTACTGCATGCCCCTCCAACTGGAGGTTCTGTATTTGGCTCTTTGCTCACTTCATCTGATGCTGATGATCAGCACAAGATGTACAGAGCCAATGCACATCGGCATTCTGAAGGCTCTCTAGATCTGTCTGGTATGACAACTCTTAGTAGTGGGGGTGGAGCTGGCAGTGGGGCTGGCTCAAGTGGCCGAGGAGGTGGCCGGAACACGTGGCCTCATCCAAACCACCATCACCGATCAAGTCTGCCTGCAGGCCCTCTTGGATCACATTCACTACTTAACTATGACTCACAACAGCAACCACCACAGGAAGATTATCCCAGAATGCTTGACTCTACAGGATCTTTGGATCAGCATGGATCACTTGGTGATGTGTATCTTTCTGCAACTTGCCATCCACATGACTTACAGTCGGGACTCTATGCATTGTCGACTTGTGCTGGAGGTGGCAATTTTATGTCAAATTCACACTGGACATTTCCAGATACAAAGCTAAACAGAACTTGGCCTGTATCAAGCCTTAGCACAGGAGGAGGAGGAGGGTAAGTATTATTTTTTTCCATTAGATCTGAAAAAAATGCTTTCTACATTTTCCCACTGGCAACAAAGAATTTTAAAACAGTCTTAGATACTAGAAAAAAATATTTGCTCTATAATAGTATGTTTTCCTCTCCTTCCCCATATATAAAGTATTTTTCATGTAAGTAAAAACCTCATACAAAATTACCTATTCAATTGATTCGATTAGCTCAGTGAAATCTTTAAATCTGATTTTTCATAATTTAATTTTGGAGATAAAAACTTTTTGTTAACCTTATTTCTTAATGTCTTATACAGAATATATATGTATTAAAAAATTAGGAGATCAGCCGATCATGCTACCTTGGTTTCAACCTTTTGGTATTTTCAAGCAGTCTTGGCTAAATAATTTTTTTATGTAATAAAGCATTAGGAAATTATTTAGCCCAGATTGCTTGAAGATATCAAAAGGTTGAAACCAAAGTAGCATGATCGGCTGATCTCCTTTTTTTTTTTTTAAATTTAAAAGCTGTGCATGTTAAATTTTTATTTTTATTTTATTGTCTTTATGTGTATTTTAATATACTACTGATTCCTGGTCTAATTCAACTCTGACCAATAACTTTTCGTAATATATATATATATATATATATATATATATATATATATATATATAATGAAAGGTTTGGTAATCTGTGTGGATAATTCAAAGAAAGTGTAATCCAGAGAGCTCAATGTAACACCAGAGCAAATATTAATTAAATAATTAAGAGACAACCTTAAGGTTCCATGACTATAATTTATTTGCCCAGAAAATATATTTTTCCTGGTTCATTAGGTCACATCTCTAGTTACAAAGGAATTTGGTTTGTTTTATTTTTAATACAAGTTTTTGAGAAATAGTTTTAGATTGATATAAGGTTACAGAGGTGGTAGGAGAAGGAGGATTATAGAATGGTCTATCTTGGAAATGGAAAGTAGGGATAAGATTGTTTTTAAACCATCCTTAATAATTTACATTTATATATGCTTGCATGTTAG